GAGTGGATTCTTCACTTTCTTATCAAGAAACTGTTGAGGAAAGTTATGGTCAAAAATGTGTGTATTTTTTTGTACAACTGTAATCTCTATCTCTTCTACAGACTGGGAACTGATTACCTATATTAATGGATAAACTACAGAACAGAAAAAACAGAGACAAGATCCACTACGTTAAGCTGAGTTTTATGTCCAACTTTGCTGGAATTAGGAATTTATGCTAGGAATCTCCTTTCTTTAGTTATTCCAACTCAGCCACACTAACCAGCATACAAAAGTACACACTTCCTTGTAAGCATGGCATTATTATCTTCTTCATTATGTTAACACAAACCTCTCAGCATTTCTCTTGTACAGTCCAAATATCCTCTTGCTAAATGCAAAGTAAGATTAAGCAGACTCGCAGTGTGTTCTGTGCATGCTGAAATTCAGGCTTTGGCAGGCATTAAGAGAGAGGGTTCCAGAGAGAGTCAGTAGGAATGTTTTGTCCATCAAGATGTTTGAACTGGACAATAAAAGCACTCCAGGCAGTTGTAAGTTATAACCACTAGAAGATACCAAAAAAACCTGCAGTCTCAGAGATAACTGAATCCAAGACAATGCACTTCAGTTGGAAGATAACTCATGTCACTGCTGCTGCAGTTGGTCTTTAAAAAAGTAATTTTTCTCTATTCAAGGCAGAGAAAAAAATCACTAAAACACAAGAATGACTGGGTGAAAGTTAAAGAAGGCTCCCATGCATTAGCCTTTATTTTGTTGGTAGACAGATAAGTTTTTCTCAGAGTGCTGGTAACTGATCTCAGAGTTAAAGGGGGAATGAGTACTCTCTCTGCTTTTCTCTCCCCCTGTCCTCCTTGTCCACTACTCCCCTCCCCCTTTCTTTCTTCCCCCACTCCTCTCTCTCTCTCTGTAAGTTTTGAACCCGACTCAGGCTGTGGTCTGACGTTCACTGCAGGAATTGCTTTACTAGCTTAAGACAAAACTCCTACTGGCTTAACCTCTTCCCTTGCCAAAGGTTATTGGTCCAGAGCACTGCCAAGATAAGTGGATTACTTCAAGAAATCTTCTATGGTAGGTTGAACTGCCTTGGCAGACTTTGCAATGAAGTGGGTGAGGATCTCTCATCTGCCTCACTTTTCTTGCTTTGCAGGATGCTGTGGAGAGCACCATAAAAGTAGCACTCCAGCAAGGATACGGCTGTGAATCCTTGAATGCATCTTCAGTAGATGCATTCAAGGGAAATGTCACAATTCCTAAGTGTAGTTTGTGCTAGATCTTCCTTACTGTGATCTCTTTGTGACACCATTTTTCCATGCCCCTCCTGAAAGGACAGGTCAGGATCTCCTTGGTTTTAACCCGCTCTCTCTGGCTGCTTCTGGTGGAAGAGGCTGTGGGGTGAAAAACTCTGACAGATTAAATCTCTCAGACCCATCTCCCATTTACTGAACTTAAGGGGTGTTTAGTTGACTAAAGGTAGTATGGCTTGATTTGTATTAAAGAACTCTCTTATGGTATTTCAGAACTGCTTAGATAGTCACTAAAATAATTCAACAAAATTACATATACTATATATTCCAGTGTAAAGACAGACACACAGGGAGAGTGGATAGTTAACATGCACGAGATAATTCTGTAACTTTTATTAATAAAAATAATACAAAATGGTATCACAAAGTCCTGTTCTTTTGACTTCTCAGTGTAAACTTTCTGGGTTTGTATTCTGGCAATCCAGTAAACAGAAATCTGGTTTTTGCAAACATTTTAAGGGCTCTATTCCATGGTCTACAACACCTGGTGTATCTCAGCTCTTGGCATAATTTAAACAAACAGGCCATGTAACACATCTCTCTCTCAGTCAAATAAAGCAGACTTGGTGTGCTGCCAATTCTGCTCTCATTTATTTGCTAACCCTGGATTTTATTTATTCCCTGAATCATCAAACACATTGCAGAGACTGACAGGAGCAGACAATATTACATCTAATAGCTGTATAATAACGTAAATAAAATCTGGTAAATCAGGTACGTTATTTGCCTGGTTTTAACTGCCCCACTTAATTTTGTGGACTTGAACCAAAAGTATAGTAGATGAAAAAGATTTTTGCACTGAGCAAAACTAGAAAGAATATAGCCATTAGATACTGCTTCCCTGTTATTTAGATTAACTTTAAAAGTGCCTTTAATAAAAAAATACACCTGGATATAATGCAAAATTTCCTGCAAAATTTGCTCATTATTGTCTATGGCAAAATCTCTTCTGACTTTTGGGGCTCGAGGATCACCCCAGTACTGCCTAGCTGTGGGATACACAGCTATATGAGGATCTGTGAAATGCCGGAAAGCTTTCCAGTGTTGAGTAACAGTTACTCAGATGATTTCTGTGACCAGAAGGAGAAAACAATCAAGAGGAAAAGAAGGGATGAAAACAATGTTTTGAAGTTATGAAGTGAGGGAGATCACTCTCCTTTCCCACAGGGGCGAAGGGTTCATAGTCAACAGACTGTTGTGTGGATTAGATCTGAAGAGCAAGTGTGTAGGTGACAAAACCTTGTGTTTGTTTGGGCTTCTGTTTTAATGAGATTTGTCTAGCAGAAGTCTAGCTCAACTTTACTTCAGATTGATTTCCTCTATGGAGTTGATTTAAACCACCACAAGGTGAAGAATGGGAACTGGCAGGTCAGTTACATGTTACTTCTAAAGATAACTATTGAAAAGAGGAGTTAAAATTTTTGCATCTGTAGTATGCTGTTGAAACACCTTTCTAAAAACTGATTCCAAGAATGGTCTTCAAGAGCAGTATGCATATAATGAATGGAAATTGATGGCCTGAAGACTTTTGTGTACAGTTTCTGACTATAAACTTCACCAAACACTTTCTTCTGTTTATTAGTTGGCCATTCCTGCTAGGTTAACATGAAAAGAGAAGGCTCTGCAGTACTTTGGGTTGTGCCTTGACCATGTAATTGGAAAAGTAAATGGTTTCCCTATGATCAGAGTTGGAATCTGTGCCAAAATGACCGAGCTCCACTAAAAAACTGCTTTTCATGAGTCATTTTGTGGCAATGCTTGTTAAGAAATGGCAAAATACCAGGAGTAAAATGATCAGCACACCTCAGGCTGCTAATAATAGCAAAATGAGCTTTCCCTACTCTGAAACTGGCTCCTCTCTAGAGTCTTCACACTTACATGAGCTTCCTATGCAAGAGTAAGTCAGAATCAGGCCATGATTTATTTTTCTTTTAAAAAAATGTATTTCAAGATCCCAGTGTATCTGCTGCCCTAAAACATAAAGAAGTGCTTAACTTTCCAGTTTGTTAATGAGTCCCAATGTCCTTTAGCATGTGTCTCTTAGAGAAAGAATGTCTGCAATATTTTGCATTTGAAGAATGAATGGCAAGGCATGGTTACAGAGGCTGGAATTCAAGAATCATTGTTCTCACTACTAAAACCATGAAACACTGACTGTTCCAGGTCCAGCTCTGGACACCCCTCTGTCTCCTAAACCCATCACAATATGTTAATTTGTACTGCAGCTACTCATGCATTGTGCAATACATTCTTTATTACTCTGTTCTACTCATGCATTGTGCTCAAAAGAGAGATTTTTTTTTTCCCGCTTTTCTAAAAAAGCAGCAGAGGTCTGCAAGTCCTGTCAGGTTTGAATCTAGTACATGCTAGAGAAAACAAGTATTTCTCATCTTCAGTGCAGCAGTTTGTTCTCCAGAATTTTAATAGTTCTACTGAAGATGAGAGTATACCCCTTTATTTCTGAGGATTTCATTCCTTCCTCTATTATGTGGGCTGGGCACAGAACATGGCCCTAAGTATTCTTCATGTGATTTATTCTACATTGACAACCACTTAAGTGGAGGCAAAGTTAGACCCAAAAGGCACAAAGTGATGAAAGCTGGAACTGAAAAATAACATGACAGTCAAAATTGCTGAGTTTCACACAGCCCCTGCTCTAACAGTGTTAGAAAACTTGGCCAAAAAGAATCCCAAAGAGCCCTTTAGAAACCCAATCCCATGACTCATATGATCTCCTTGAAGGCTTTTTTCTATCCCTCTACAAAATAACATTGAGTAAAGCCTGATGATTATGCTACTTGCTGCAATTTGACAGCTTTTAGTCAAAATGTTTTCTATTTACAACAGAACTTCTTTAACCAAAGTTGAACACACTGGCATCTGCAAGTCAGACTGAGCTGGTCTTGGTTGGGTTGTAGGCTAGATCTTTCCACAGAGGCGGAATGCCTCCATGGCAGGAGATGGGAAGGGATACGAAGGAGATGCCCTATCTCACAAGGAACTTTATGATGAATTAATACTGGTGACTCAGGCATTGTTTCCCAAGGACTCCCAAGAGCTGAGATGGCACTTAATGAATCAACACTTTTGTGTTTGCCTAGTTCACTAGATTGTTTGAAAGTCTGACAAGCCAAAGCCACTCCATTACCTGCTGCAGGTGAAGCCAGAAGGAAGTAATTCTGGTCACTATTTGTATTGTGGCTGTTCAAAAGGAAACAGGAACAGAGGACTACCCTTTCCCTCCCAGCAGTCACTCTGTGTTGATTCACTAAGGCCAGATGCTATCTGATCTTCCCACTGGGATTCAGTTAAGAATGCAGAGCTTCAATACTCAAGTTCCCTCTGAGTATTGCATAAAACTGAAAATTAACTGAGCTGCTAAAGGAGCATGCATCACACATAGAAATATTTTATTTTTATTATAAAGGTTTTTTTGTTTTGATGATTGCTTTATGGAATGTACATATAAGTTCAAAAGTGTTTTTAAGATAGCTATGGCTAATCCATTGAAGCCAACTAGTCTTTTCAAGTTTGTGTGTTCAAGACCCTTTTAAAATCCAAACAGTTCAAAAAAGTGTTTCCACAGTTTTCCAACTCCACTGTCAACAGCTAAGAAATGGACCAACATGCTTTCATAATCTTGTATGTGTATGAAGATGCAATAATAAACTGGGTTTTTTTTCCCCTCTGGCATAGGAAATGGCATTCAGAAGGAAGTTAAAAAAGGAGGACAACAAAGGAGCACAGGTAGGTCTTTTTCAAGTGCTGTTTCTAAAATGAAAAAATCAAAATTAACTAACCTTATGGCAAAAGTTGACTTAGAGTACAAAAATCTGAGTTTTCTTCTATCTTCTTGTCTTCACTGAGCCTTTAACTGTAAGTATCCCTATGCTTGCATGATTTATCTCTGACAGTGGTGTAGGAGACAGAAGACTTTGAAAGGAGACTTTAAAGTCAATAGTGCAATAATAAATTTTTTGTCATTTTATGTCTTTTTATAATACTGTTTTAACAAAGGATATATTTTCTTCACTCTTCAGTCTGGATTCCTCACAACATGAGAAAATTAAAGCTGATAGATTATATAATGAAGTCCATGCTTTTGTCACTGTTCAGTTTGTGGATGAGAAATGAAAGGGGCTAACTTTTCTTGCTGATGAGCTACATGTATTTTGTCTGTTTATATACGGTGAGTATAAGAAAGTGTTTTCTTATTTCCTTTGATTAAAGTTTGCAGATCTGGTCCTGCTCCACTTCCTACCATTCATAATAACCTCTGTCTCTCTAAATTAGAAGCTGTACAGTTAGCTGGGATGAAAATGAAGGTGTCACCTATAAAGTTAGGGTTTTCACCTATCTGACCCAAACAGTGGCAATGTGGATTACTCGTCAGGAAAAGCTGGTTTGAAGGAAATATGTGGATCATAAAGCAGGCACCAGTCTGTCACTGCATGGGTGCAAAAACATACTATAAAATATACATGCCAAATGCTAAAAGGAAAAGCAGCTGTCAGGAGTTCTTTGCTGTCTTCATAAGGTCTCTATTGCCTTGGTAATTCTCTTGAACTAATGCTGCCACACCACTAAATATGTATTTGAGGCATATTCCACTGAGGGGTGTGGAGGCTATCACTGTATTAATGGTGCTCCAAATTGAGCTCTGCATATCTAGCTTATGCTAATTCCCATGGCTTCTTAGTGCTTTTTTTTTGTTGTTTTATAATAATATAAATCTTTCATATATTCTAACTAATGCTTCAACCTGGATCTTTTGCATTGACTTTTCAAAGTATTCTGCATTTCAACTTATTTTGTGCTAGTTAATGAGCAAGCAATGATTTTTGTATTACTACTTACTGCAAACCTGAGACAAATTCAAATACTGGAGAGAAATCTGGGACCTAAATGTCCAGCACTGCATATTCCACCAACATTTTCACCAGTGCATCATGGTAGTAAAATGCTAACTTCATTGTATGGTACTTTGAATGGCCTTCAGAGCACATTTACATGCAGGAAAATGCAGCCTTTTTTATCAGTCAGTGTTGGGTAGCCCACATCTTCTAATTGGCTTTATTATTCTCAACTATTTAACAGTAATCTCCTTGGTAATCAATTGTGCATTTCTTCAGGTAATAGTATTGGCTCATAATTGGCAATGTTACTAGCATTAAAACTTCTGCAATTTGTTGCTTAATAGATTGACTTAAGTTGCACTGAACTTAAACCAGGAAAAAACACATATACATAAAAATTAGGATGTTTTCTGTTCTTAATCTTTTTTTTTTTTTTTCTTATGGGTTTTTAGAGCAGGTTTTTAGCTTGTCTGCTTTCAAATAAATGCCTATAAAGTAGAGTTTATTTTGGACGATTGATTATTATAATCATGTGCCTGCAACTGCAATACAATATTTTAAGTCATGACTTCTTCCAAGCAACAAAATAATTTTTATATCTTAACATGGTTTATCATTTTGAAACTAAACCACTTATGGTATAATTTCAATGTGTAGCTCTTTAAACTGAAAGGATATTATCAAGATTTATTGAAAAACAAGCACATCTTCCTATTATAGCTGTGTTTTAAAAATTAAACAAATGGATTAACAAGTTCTCTGTAATTATATCATTAGTTAATGGTATTTCAGATACAGTCTGATAAAAAATACTTAAGATGATGTGGTATTTTAGACTCACTATGTGAGTCTTACTGCTAAATATCTCCTACAAAGTTTTCAAGGAAGATTTTTTCATATATTTACTAAACTGGAAGGACCAAATACTAGGAATAAAAATAATGCCTTTTTTTACTCTTAATTATCTGCTAGTCCCATGGGACTGTCCTTATCCTTTTAATGGTGATCCTAATCCATACTCCTGAAATGCACCTAACTGAGCTATTAGAGGCACCCTTGCTGTCTTTTGCCCACTTCCATGAAGTGGGCAAAACTATGAAGGTTTTGTTCCTTCATTTCTTGCAGATTAAAGTGAGACAATCCATCCTTTTTCTTTTCAGAACATTGTTCTTTTTGCTTGTGTCATCTCTTCCTAGGACTTGGTCTACACAGGAAAATTTTGGTCTCACAGCTCTGTCAGGACTATTTTTTATTCTACATTCATTGCACCATAGCTGTGCAGGCAAAATTTCTACTTTATATGCACTTACACCACCAGGAGTATATGTTGCCAGTTTTTCTTGTACTGCTTGAGAAACAGGTTTGTTTCTTTTGCTTACCTAAACATACCCCTTAAAATACAGATTTCTTTCATTTTGGCTTTTCTAGTAAACCTCTGGAGGGCAGACACGTCTAGGAGGTACCAGGACACAGTTCTGGAGGAGTATTAGCTCAATGACACCATGCTCTCACTATGGTATGCAATAGCACAAAAATCCTGTAAGAAAGATGGGAGTTTTTGTTCCTCCTCATCAGTGATTCTTTTAGTCCTCTAACCATGTTCACTGATAAGCACCACAGATATCTGCAGCTTGTCAAAGATTAAGTAATTAGTTAGGTAGAGCTTCAAGTGTGGGAGCAGTGAGAGTAAAAAGGACAGTGGCAGAAAAGGGAAGGTCTTCACAGCTTCAACATTAAAAATACACCATAGATGGAAAAAACTGCTTCTTAAGGATTCTTGGTAAGTAATGTGACAATCTAAGTCATAAAATCTTTAAAAGCTATTTAAAGGTCAGTGGATTCCAGTAAATTTGACATTAGTGCTTTGATGTTTTGAAATTAATGCACTTATTGAAATATTTTATTGCCCCTTTTTTTTCTAGTCAATAGATAAAGTAGAATTTTGTGGTCTACTTCTTCAAGCTGCCATTATGTCAATCAAAAATATCAAAAATATGTCTAGTGAATAAATTATTTTGGCAACTAAATGAAATACTTTTATGGTTAGCTTAGTGTTTTCCTAAAACCCCAGCACAGTCCAGGAAGCATTCTGCCTTCTCTCTTAACCAGACTAACTGATTGCTACACATCAGCCACAGGCAGTCTCTAATATTGCTTTTGTTTTGCCCTAATAACCTTACTAAGATGCATCTTAACCCACATTGGCCTAAAAAAAAATGCAGGGGGCAGTGGTTGCTTTTAAAATTATTTCCGCAACCATTTCCCTGGTGCAAGATAAACACATATTAAATAACATGACATTAATAATTGCATAAAAGGGATGTTAAAAAAATAGTTTCAGGAAAGAGAATAGACCATTAATGAATTACTACATTAGTGAAATAGTTTGGGCAATAGTTGAGATGTTTGTACTAAGTTGATAAATGCTGTGCCAGTAAATCACTTGCATATATCTTCTTTTCTAGCCATAGTTCAGAGTCCTTTAGATCTCCAAAGGTTGTAGATAATTTTTGCACCCACTCAGTCAATGACTGGCAATGCGGCATGGAGCCGCAGTCATTCATTCTGTCAGTCAGCAGCCCTTGATAATGTGCCTGTCAATATAATTCAGTGCCTGTTCAAGGAAAGTGACACTTTGAATAGTGGACACTTTTCAAAAGCATTCATATAGGGTCAGTTCCATGATAAATAAATATATTTTGCGTTTGGAACAAATAGGCAGTATGCAGGAGCTGGAGTCAGAGCAAAAATACACCACCAGTCTGCAGGATATATTAAACTGCAATGAAGAGTGAATATCATAAATGCATCTTTGGGTTTTTTGATGCTGTATTAATGATGGGATGATAGAAAATAACATCTTCAGGATCCTATGGGGCTTGATTGAGCTCTGATCCATGACCAGGCGCCCTATGCGCTGATACACTACAAATGAGATATTAAAATAATAGTATCAATAATTCTTTAAACCCTATTAAATAGGGTGAATATTTTCATTGCTGAATGAAAAACACAGGCAAAACTCTTTAATTACCACTAACAGTGTGTTAAAGTATTTATATGGCATACAGTGTTTAGTTTCTATTAATACAGGCTGAGAATGTGAGGAAGAAATATGTGATAGTGACAGGATTTTTAATGGTACCTCACCTTAAATGCATTTTAAAATATGTAAATCAATAAAAAAATTATTTGTAATAGCAGACTAAGAGTGCTGGTTAGCCTTACTGCTGAATGAAATGTATGCTACAAGCCCTATTACCATACATCGTGGGAGCTGTAGTTAGGATTAATCTGTCAAAAGGGATGGTTTAGTGTTGATGAATATGACATGTGACCATTAATGATGTTGATTTTATCTCCTGAGATTAGCATGATTTACTTCGGATGGATAATAATGTCATTTGCTTGATGCAGTAGATCTGTTTACGAGCTGATTAAATTGTAAGGCCTTGCTTCATTTCATGCTATTTGGTTTACAGCTTCATTACTGCAATCACAAAAGCTGTGGAAATGTCCCACATCCCATGTCACAATAAATCATTGTTTAAGATTGCAGCTATGTATTTTAGCATTTCAGTTTTGCATGGACCATGCATTCCTTAACAAATATGTGATTGGGAATACATTAACAAGATATTCTGGAGCATACTGCTGCAGAAATGTAGAAAATAAGCCTGAATCTTTTAATTGAGATTAAGGAAGCACTTGAGTAATTAGCTGTAACAAATTACCTTATTATTTAGACAGTGAAGTAAACGTTTTTGTTGCAAGGATGATTATCATAAATCTGCAGAAAAGTGACAGTCAAACAACCATAAAGGAAACTTGTAAGCAAACTACATTTTCTGCCTATTACCTTTTAAATTTAAATAAAATTTATCAGAGACATACTCCAAAAAGAATGTATTTCTTGTTCAGGGATAGTATATGTTACAAGCTATACCATCTGTAATTACTGCACTGGGAAGAATATATGCATGTAAATCACAAAGGGGAAAAAAAGAATCTGTTAATTATAATGGCAAATGCTAATGTTGCCATAGTTAAGGCTGTGTCAACGTTTTCATTATAAACCCAATAATAAAGGAAAGAAGGCGAGAGGGAGGGTGGTAATCAGCCATCAGAGATTGCTGTGTGCTAAAATTTTGTATACAAAAAGGCACACTCACGCCATGTAAATCAGATGTATTGGAAAGACCATGCTCACAGTCTCAGTGAGTGAAAGACTAGGGCCAAACTCTCAGCTTAGGAGCAAGGGTCACTTTGTTGCAATAATTTTTTCACATTTCACATTAAATGATATTGCTATTTTTATTGTACATATTAAAAAAAAAATGTTGCATTTATCAGCCAAATGGGACCTTTTAGAGCTTGTGGCTTACCACTAGCTGAATTTGATAACTGTAGTTGATTAAGTCTTGGTTCATGTGTGCAATTTTAATTAAAGCTTTTATATTTCTTTTGAAGAGCATGCTTAAATAATTAGCTTAAGTTGGGTATTTTATTGTTATAGAATGGAATTTCTTTTCATTCTTTTTATTCCCTTTTTTAAAAAAATCCCCCTAAGTTGTTTCTCAGTGGAGTTCATGCAAACATGTCAAGTTTGCTTACATGTGAGTTCTGCTGGGTTATAATATGGTCAAATGTGATTGTGAACTTTATAGCAGATCTGTGAGCCTTTTTCCCTTAGCAAAACTCCCCTCTCACCTCACAGTATTTCAGCTGGCAGATAAAGAAGTGGGAACCTCAAGAGGAACTGTACTCATGTATATACATACATATATACAGGCCTAGAGTGCACAAGGATTTCCAAATGAGTTGTAGCAATGACCAAAGTCAAATGTTTTTACAAATGATTAATGGCTCAGCTTTTCTGACTGGCCAATGTCGTGTCATTTGAAGCCAGGCCTTTTTTCTCATTTGTTTTCAATGGCTGGTGCATGAAGCACTTTGGAAAGGAGACTCTTTCAGAAGAGTTGCTGCTTTGGATTTGGAAGGAGGGAGTTGCTGCTTTGGATTTGGAAGGAGGGAACAACTCTAATGCTTGCAACTCAGTTCTATTTGGTTCTGTTTGGGGACAGATATACTGAACTGATTTAGACATTGTGGCTGCTGGGCATAGATCTTCCACCCCTGACTTTTTGCAGAACCAGTCCCTGTTGACATTTGTAAAATTAATGAAAATGTTTCACATGTTGAAGTGTTGATGTTTCCAGCAACGTTTAACTAATCAAATTAAAACAGTGATAAACATTTTCTCCTGTTTTCTAAGTAGCTCTAGACCTGAGTTGATGAAAACATATCCTTGAAAACAGAGGGATGTGTATGTCTTTTGTTTTGTTTACTTTTTTTTTTCCCCCCCACAAAAAAAAATAATTTAATTGCTGTGACAAAAAGAAAAGGCAAAAAGAGGAAACCATGCTTTGAATCTTCATTGCTTCAGGAAAAATTTGATAATGTATTGCATCCTTGCTTAAGTGGCTGAAATGCTTTTACTGTAGTTTCACAGTTTTATATTTTATAACTATGAAATTAAACTAAACAAAGGCTCCCTCTCAATGAGCTGCACCTTTTGAAAACAATTTGGTTTCTAGCCAAAATGGAAATGCAAGGGCAGAATTTTTCAGGGTAGACATTCTTTCCCTGCTATTCCTGTTGAAACAAAAAGAAAAATGCCCTTGAAAATCTCAACTGCTGGCTTCACTAAAAATATATAATTTTACCACTGACCTGTCAGGGATGGTTAATTTAGTATAATTTATGCAGAGAAGAAAATCCCTTGCTAGTGCTATGAGGTGGAGAGGCTATCAGCCAGGTTGTGATAGTAGTTTTGTGGAAAAGGACACCTTTAACCTGCTGAAGTCATCTCCTTGAACTTTAGCAGCAACTGTTTATATTAGCTTGGGAAAAAGTACAAAGGACATGTAATTTCTTAGTTCCCACACAAGCTGTCCCCAGTCTGCCTTTTGCCATTCCTTAAACTCTGTGATGTTTAGGGAATCTATTTAAATAAAAATAATGAATCCTGGTTGATGCTTTGAGGTTGTTTTTCTGAAAATGGTGGCAACTGCAGATCGCGTCTATGTCTACCTTACTGATAAAGCTGCTAGCGTGGTATGAGGGAAGAGACTATTTGATCTCTGTGACTGAACCCTGAATGAACAATTTATACATTCAGAAAGTTGATGGCTGCTGGAAGATGATTCATCAATCTTCTCTGCAGGTGCCTTCAAGTATAACAATTATTGAACTTGGACAGAAAAAAAAGTAAAAGATGGGTTTAAAATTATTCAGATGGATGCAATTAGGGAACAGAAGTTGATTCTCTCAGTGTATAGAGGAAAACCTGTGCAATATTTTGCCACTGGAGAATTGGTTTTGCTGCAGGTTTGTTCACTGTTAAATGAAGCAAACTAACCTGAAACTAATATTTTTTTTAAAAAATTTGGTAGAAGGGTTCTGGGTAGCTTTAGGCCAACACTCCAGACTGGTGTTGAAACTCATGTAGGAGAATACATTATTCCTCTGGCTTTAATTCTTATCTATATAAAATATTCTTAAAGCTCAGGCAAGGTCTGCAGATGCACTCACTGCATTTGAATATCTAAATTGTATATTTAAGGTCATCTGCATAGCTGGGGCTCTTGGGTACCAAGAAAACTGGTGTTTTGGAAGCCAGCACTGCTGCTGAGGACTTCATTGGACGGCAGAATTTCAGTTGAAAACTGTGTTCAGTGATGTGCTAGAAATTTTCTGTTTGAACACTAATCCTAAAAGGGATAATTTCCCAGATTTATACCAAATTTAGGACACTAAGAGAAAGCACTGAATTTTCCTTCAGCAAACAATTTATGTTCACAAAAAAGCTTATTGATGTCAGCACAGTTGTGCAGGCATGTAGAGGGTGCACATTTTCTTTGAAAGATTCCTAGGAACTGGCAATTCCTAAATCTGTGGCTGTTCTAGAAGGCATCCAAATGGCTGCTGAGAAGGGTCAAAGTCACAAGCAAGGAAAATCTACAAGGCAGTGTGTATGCACATGCTTGCATTATGACCGTGGTCAGCCTCACTGTAATATTTAGTGTCTGCTCAATGGCGCTTAGAGTGTTGAGTTCTGAATAACTTTAGGAATCAGAACCATGGGTTTTCTGAAGAAATATAAATTCCTAAAAGATATCTTGTTAGATTTCAGGATGAGCAAAATCTCTGTGATGATGCAGTCTGATATTTTTTATTACTGGGGCCACAGAATTTCATTGAGAAGCACCTGCAATAAGTGCAGCTGTGTCTGATTGAGCTAGCTAAAGAATATGAAGAGAAATTTGGGCAGATAATTTGTTATTTTCTCCCTTCATAGAGTTCAAAAATAGGTTTTGCAAAAAAGCAATTTTGCCTCCTTCAATTATTGAGACTGCTGTAGTCAAGCCTTTTAATGAACAAATTTTGTAGAATTTAGGGTCTCTGAAGTGCAAAGCCACAACAGAGTGTGGCTCTTAATGTGCCATATGAGCATTATGTTGCTGGCTTTCTCTGTCAAAGCTGGCATGTATCAGAATGCAATAAAAGAAAAACTATTTCATTCAAAATTAAATGGCCACATCCAATTAAAGAAAAGACTGAAGTCTGAAACCGTAAAATCCATTGAAAGTTCCTTTCTGTTTTAGAGGAAATGTACCAATTGCTAATGGAAGTGTTACTCTAAACGATTGGCTACTAGTTAACTATTATGTGTTCTAGCAGGATTTGTGGTTGGATTTTTTTTTTTTTTTTTGTCGTTCCTCCTCCTCAGAAGATTTGGGGGAAAGAACAGAAAAGTATTGAAAAGATTTCCTTATTCTTTTATCTTTTCAATCAGTGTCATACTAACAAAAAGATGTTTTGAAGTCTTTAACCATTAATTGACTAACTGGTTTTCTTTAGACATAAAACTTGTCAAGGCCTTGATTGTTGTGAATCCATGGTGATAGATTCTGGCTGACTGCCTAAGTACAAGGTCTCTGAACACTAGGATAACACTTTCTGAAACAGTTGGGGCTTATCCCCCATAATGCCATTTAAACAAACTTAATTGACTAAAACTTTCACTTTTGTGCATTCTGTATGAGGTACCATTTGCAAGAAGAGGCCTTTTAGGAATAGAACCTAAGTGACAAAATCTGACCTGTACCTAGCCTTAGATTTCTCAGTTCTTGTTTACTTACACAAAATAAGCCGATATGAACTGCCTTAAAAATCCACTATAAGCAGAAAGTCTCTTGCATACCATAATTTTTCACAAGTGAATAACCTTAGAATGAGTCCAAATTGAAACTCTATGAACAGAATAAAATTCACATGCTTCTGCAGGAGGACCTGCTCATTGTCTTCAGATAAGTGCCTATACATGTCAGTCAGTAGGTTTGTTCTATATGAAATGAATAACAAGTCTTAGACAAAGCTAAGACTTGCCTTTTTTTTTCTCAGTTGTTGTTGTAGTGAAACTTTAGTAAATAGATGACCCTAAATTTTTTTAAATTTTGAGTTCTAGGCATAGGCTGAATTATAAATCTGTCTTTATAGTAACTTGGGTTTGAATGCAAGCAGTAAGTCAGGTTTAAATAATATACAGGAATGATAAAACTCTTAATACCTTTTTCAGGGAACATGACAATTCTGGGATAACTCTTTTCTCTCTGGGAAGTCTTCAAACATCATAAGGTAAAACTTAGCATCTCTAAAGAATTTTGAATGGTTCACATGACATGAGTTTTGTGACAGTTCTCTACTCTGTAGTTGTCAGGGCCCTCACAGCTCAAAAACTTCACCTGTGGTCTCCCCCAACCTCTGTCCACAGGTTCTGGAGCTTCCTTAGTCCCTGCCTGAGTAAAACCATGGTCATGGACCCCACTGATTCTGAACATGACCCATGGGCTGATGGCTTTGACCTCACTTTTACCACAAACCTGCTCCGAGGTCATGATTCCAGCTGTACTCACTGGGTCTGATCCTGACGTGCAGATAGACTTCCAGCTTCACCTTGGATTTACCTCATCACCACAAACTCCTCTAATTGTCTGAGCTCTTGGTTGAATATCAGCTGCTGTCAATGGTCCTGCCTTGCTTCCTCACTGGGACAGCCAGGACCTGACCTGGTGACACTGCCCTTGGCTCCCTGTTCCCTGGGAGAGCAGCTGCCCTTGCTGCTTCCTGACAGTATTGCAAGTTTTTATCTTATCAAAACAATATTGCAGAACAGAACCAGATGCCAGTCTTTACCCTGCAGTAGCCATAAGGTGATTTCCAGTGTCGTTGGTGATTTTTGGGGGGAAGGGGGGAATATCACTAAGAAGCCCATCCAGTGAAAGGAGTTCCTGTTAACAGTGCACTTGTTTCATGAGCAGAGGATTTATCTCAATTATTTTCCTAGAATAGCCACAGAGTTTTAACACAAACATCCCATTTTCTTTTAATGTGTCTTTGAAAAAATACTCCCAGCAAAGAGGATTTTATGCTGAGCAGCTCTGTTATGAGCTAAAAATCACATGGCTGAGTTGGGACTTGGCCTTAACAGGCCATTTCAGTTCTAAGTCTAGCTGCAACCTGGAATTGAATGGAAGAGTAATTTTTCCTCTTAAACTGAGGTACTGCAAACCCAAGTCAAGCAGACCCTGTACAATCCACGTGCCAGTTGTTCCTTATAAGAGAATGCAACTATTATTAGAGTTTAGATCTTTCTGATTTAAAGCATTTTTAATATACTTTTTTCTTAACTGACCTTGGTTTTGCTAACCAAAACACACAAAAAAAATGCCCATCCTCAAGTGTCAATTTTATTTGAAGACAATTTTTAATGAAAAACTATTGTTCCAGTTTTCAATTAATAGAAGTGTTCTGAAGTAATTTTTTTCCTTAAATGTTTATATTTATGTTGATATATAAAATTACATTTTTGCTATGCAGAATTTGGTTTTCTTGACTTCTGCACTTAAGTAAGGACTTTGCTTCTAGAAGGCAAACATTGGTGATGTGGCAGTGGTTTGTGAAGCAGCTATAAATGTGATATATCCAGTAACGGAGAATGCTTTTAAGGTATCTGAAATAATAACTCTGAGACTGTGCCAGCTTTGTTAATTCCATTATCTCACTCAATAATACTTGTATATGTGATATCTGAAATGTATTATTTAATTGTTATGCAGGTCTTCTTTGCTTGCAAAGACACTGAAAACTTTTCAACATGAAGGTGTAGTGTCCTTAGGCCAACTCTTTAATTTATCAGGACAAGATTATGAGATTACTCTCTGAATAACAGTGTATTTTATCACTGTTTTACAGAATCAAGTCTACTGTGAGCTTACGGCACAAAGCTTAACAACACAGTTGCAGAACAGTAAAAGAAAATGTTTTTGAAGGAAAAGTATTGCTGCCAATAATGCTAGGATGCTGAAATGTACAGTGATTTGTATTTTGATATGCTGCATCCATACAGCTGAAAATTGGATGCAGACTCAAAGCTACTACTAAGAAAATGTTCAGTACTGGCTAAAAGAAAGCATCTGGCGCCACTGAAAAAAGGATGTGTAGTCCTTGTAGGGCTCTGTGCCCTATCTTCACAATGAGGTGGTAACTAGTAGGAAGGAATAAAAAGCGAATGTATTGTGCTCTTGTAGAGTACTGTTTATTTACTGGGGTTTTTTTCCTAACGTTATAAAATAGTTTGGCTATTATGTAAGTTTTTTGGTATGACTTCATGACTCTTCCTTTTCCCCCATGAACTTGCACCTTAAAATATTTTAAAATTATATCAATTTATTAATAATAAAGATGTGTTAAAATACCAAATACTGTAATGTAAAACATTACAAGAATCCCTTCTGCCAGTAGTAAACAACAAAGTTGAAAGGTATGTGTTAAAGGAACATTAATAACCAGCAACACAGTCTCACTAGTAGAGGTACTGGAGAGTTGAGTGGTTGCATGGGAATTAGTCAGAAGCAGGAACAGCTGTTTGTTTGCTGCACAAGTTCATGGACTTGTTCCTCATCTGTCAGTCACTGCAGGGCTGTGAGTGTGAAGCACTACCCACAGGTACCCAGAGACGTTAGAGCAGGGTTCAGGCACGCGAGTTAGTAGGGCAGTAAGGTAATCCGCTTCCTGCCATCAGTTCTGCCCAGTCATTTCTGGCTCAGCATCAGAGAAAAGGGCTGCAATTTCATCCCTGTTTCCTCACTTCTCTCTTTCTCTTTTATAGTTCTCAGTTTTTCAATTAATGAGAAGTACTGGTTCAATCTGCGCCACAAATCTTTAGGCACTTCTTACCATAGGTCAAAAATGTCCCTGTTATTTCCCCATCTGCTCTACAGTAATCTGGGTGCTTGTCTCAGACCTACCTAACATAAAAAGCCCCAACAAAGCAAGGAAAGAACAAGGAGATTTTTATCCTTGGAAAGACAGAAAAAGTCCTTCTACTACTAAGCAGCTTGCAAGGCCAAAAGTTGATAATTTTATATAATTAATATTTCTTTACTTCATCTGCGATCATTCACTTGTCCAAAAGCTGTTTCAGGCCAGTTTACTCACTCACAGACAGACGAGTAATTATTGTAGATTTAAGACACCTAAACCCAAAATACTGTCAGATGTGACTGTTGCACAAGAGGATCAGACTAAAAACCCGTTACTACTCTTTCAGATTAGCAAAGCCCTGGATGCAGGCTTCCCTCCATCATTCCTAAAATAATGCTAATCCCTATACCTAAGATTTTGCAATTCTGTAGCTGGACAGCACCTATACTGAAAGGATTTTCCATTGCTGCTGTCGTCTCGGCAGATTAGTTATAGGAGGCGACTCCAAGAACAAGCCATGCTTGACCTGCACAAAATCTTCAGATATTTTAACTTTTTCCTCTTTAAAAAAATTCTCAAGCATTAACAATTAGTAGTGGAGAAACATTGTGTTTATATGACATATATGACAAATGACATTATCTCCATTTTTTTCCCTTGTGAAAGGGGAAAGACCAGTGGTGCAAGACACTGAGGAACATCTTAATTTAAAATTTAATTTAACCCACTTTGACACAGCATAGATTATGCCATAAAGATACCACTACTGAAACTACATTTTGCAGTGCAGCCATCTGGGCCCACTTTAACTTTGTGGACTAGGGGTTATGATATAAGAAGTGTGTTGCCAAGGAAGAAGAATGTCTTCCTCCCTCATGAAGTTAAGGTATTTCATATTGTGATAAACCATAAACAATGATTCTGTGAGTGACATTCCAGAAAACCCTCTAATGTATACATCAATTGGTCAAGATTCCATAATTCTGCCTTGGACCATTCCATTTATGTCCTAAAACTCACAATGCTGTTAAAGACTTTTCACTGCAACTTTCATGCTTATTGAGAGGTGAGGAAGAACAATGTAGGATATTCACAGTCCTTTGAACAAAGATAGGAAATAGAAACATTTTAGACCTGCTTCAGTCTCTTCATTATGCAGGATTCAATACTGAAATTTTTTATTCTCTCAAGCTAAAGACTAGTAATTTATTTTATCACATCTTTTGCAGTTTCCTGTACAAACTCCTGCAGACCACAGTGGTGGATGTCCCTCCTGAAATGGCACTTTCTGCTCTATCCACACCAGAAGGCAATTGGAACTCACGTGTGATTCTCCATCCTCCTTGCACTTCATAGAGACATCTGACCAGAGACTGCTGATGCACAGACAGCTGGAGTATTGCTGTCTTATACAGAGAAGGAGTGTGGGAATAAGTAAACAGAAGGGCCAGAAATCCTCACTCTAGGGAAGTGTGGAACTGATACTGGAAGACTGTCAAGTCAGAATATCCCTAGAATGATAGGACATGAGTTCAAGCCATACATAAATCCAGATTTCAGAGGCTTGAGCTCAGGTAAGACTCTGGATTACATGACATTTGTAAGAAAAGGAAAACTACAGTGATTTCATGTATTCAAAACCTTTCCTCAATCAAACTAAGACAAATTAGTTTCAACAGAAGAAAAAAAATATCCTGGAAGTAATTCCCAGAATTTTGAATGAAGAAATTTTCAAAAATTCAAATTTAAGATATTGCTTTACTTGAAAACTGTTTCAGGCTGAGGCAGGATCTGAATCTTAATTGTCACAGCCCTACAAAATGATTCTACATATAGGAGCTTATTACATACATAATTACCTTATTCTAGTTTGTATTCTAGAACAAACATATCTGGATGAGACAGTTATTCAGTAAGGATGCTGTTTTTATTCTTGAATAATTCCATGTGCAGTCAAGCTCTCAGTCAAATCACCACAACTCTGTATGTAGATGAATTGTCAGTCTCTCTCTGCTTGCATTTACAGGAAATCTGTATCTCTGTTACTAAATGCAGCTGACGGATCTGAAAATGTCACATTTGTTTGTGGAGTAGGCAGAGATCTCACAAGCTCTCACCCCTATTAGCCTACTACTTGTGTCCTTTGCAGGTGTTATGAAGTGCATATCCTTATTTTGTGTTAAATGTCATTAGCAAACTAATGAATGCTATGGAGAGAAGGAAAGTTTTTTCCTCCATTGTTTGCCAAAAAGCAAGAGGTTGTTTTTTTTTTGCCAAAAGAGTTTTTGAGTGTGATATCAAATTTATATATAAAGTCCAGAAGAAAATGGAGTTTCTTTTCTTTGGGAAGGGGGCGGAAATAAATCTTTGTTCTAGTTAGACTTTGGACCTTTTAACCATAAAGACTTGCTTTTCTTCATGCTATTTTTGTTTGTCACTTATGCTTGCATAATTCTGTCACAAGTACTGTCTCAAAGCCTTAATAAAACATTAATGTCCAAGCCCCAGAACTTCCACTGTTACATTTCTATCAATTATCTCTGTAACTGATTTTAGCTCTGGTTGCTTTTTAGAAAAGTGAAACAGCAAGCTATACATTTCAAGGAAGGGACAAGATTAATGAATGTATACAACTGGGACCTGCTCCTCGTCATGTAAAATATCAGTTGGAACTCTTCATATGTACTTAAAATGGTTCATTTCCTACCTTGTATAATTCTTGTAGCTCCACTTTCATATTCTTCTCTCATACAGGTTTCAACAATTCAAGTAGACACTGAATGGCCTTATCAGCATCTTTTTAATGAGTAAGTGTAGCTTTTAATTCAATTGCACCTATAAGTTGTCGTTGTATGGCAACTTTCTAGCCCATAAGAAATGACGTGGTGCTGGTTGTTGAGACATGTTTAATGTGAACTCATCCCAGTGGTATTCTCAGCAGAGAGCAATTCCTAAAAAGCCCATGAAGATGGATCAGCTCTCTTTTTTCCCCCAGTATTTCCCCCAGCAGACTGGAAGGAAGAGATCAGTTCTCCCATCACTTTTTCAGTTTCCGTGCTGTGGGCAGGAGTCTGCATCCTTGTTTAACATCACAGCAGGCCGTAGATACCAGGCATTACACATTAAACATTCAGTGATGGAGTTTTTCAGAATCACAAGTCCAGGACCAGCTGGTTTCCTTGTTGGGGAGGTCATTCTAGATTTCCAAAATAGGAGCAGTCAACAGAGTTCCTCATTTTTCAGATATGTTTTTGTTCTTTCAATAAGCGTCACAAGCCCCGAGTCGCTGTCACTCCGGGGATTCTGGAAGGTTCCCTCGCGCCTCCCCTCAGCAGTGAGGGCCCAAAGGCGCGTGAGGCATTGGCCGGAGTTTCTGGGGAAGGGGAGGATGTGCATGTCCCACTCCCACTGGTGGGAGAAAACCCAGCCTGAGGCATCCAGCACCCGGGTGCAGCCGCTGCAGGCATCTCCTGGGATGTACGGGAGATGGGATCTGCCCTCACAGGCATCTGCCCCGGCAGCGGCTCCGTCCCAGGGCGGCCGCCGAGCAGCACTGCCCGGGCGCACTGCGGAACCTGATGTGCTGAGTCGCTCACCTGGGGGCGATGAGCCCTCGGCACAGCGCCCGGGGGCAGGCAGGAGTGCTGCCGGGAGCTGCGGTGCGGGCAGCCGGCGCTTGGCTTTTGGGAGATGGAAGCCGCAGCTCTGCTGTCCTTGGCGAAGGAAGGGCTGTGAGGGGCCCGGGTGCCCGGCCCGGGCTCGCCCTGCGGGAGGGCAGCAGGTCAGTGCCAGCAGGTCAGTGCCCAGCTGAAATCCATTCCTTCTTTTCTCTCCGAGCGCGCTGTCATCGCGTTAATTCTTTCGGAGATTTTTGAAGTATGTATCAAGAAAAATCCCTTTACAAATAATTCTCTGCTTAAGTCTGCTTCAAATGTTATTCTCTTTTTCTATTGAAAGCAAACATTTTTTTCGTAAATATCTGTTTTCCTTTAAAACAAAGGATCTGAATTTTTATAACGGAGTAGTCTTTAGGTTGTTTGTTATTTGTGTATCTTGCAGTATGGTGTTTCATTTTAAGGAAGAATTCTTTTTGGGAGGATTATTTTGTTCAAAAATTTAAAAGTTGATGTGTTTGACTTAAGATTCTATGGGTTTTGTTGATAACTTGTTTTTCACAGGAAAAAGTAAGTTTTGTCATTATGGCTTTTCCCTTCTGAAGAGAGTTCTGTAACTCTTTTATGTGTAGTGTGGTTGTTTATACATCGTTGTTTTGCAACTTTCTTCTGTTGTTAAATAACAAGCTGGGGCTTCTTAAGTGTGAAAGGGAAAATAGCCTTTATACGATTGGTTACCTCGTCATGGGTATTATACAGTTCTTTGTGTCATAAAAGTGTTATTTTTATCATGGTAGATTTAATTCTATCTACCTACTCCTCCATCGTGCAAGGCTTTGGAACAGGGCAGCACTCACTGGGTTACTGAGTCCTCCCCTCCCTATTGCTGCCAACACATTGGATTATTTGTTTTTGAAGTGTGTTGTACTCTATCTTAAGAACCCTTGTGTCGTTTATTCCCACTATTCCCAGAGGATGGCTGTTACAGAATGTGATTGCTTTACAACATTGCTGGTGAGCCATTTGCCATTGGAACTGACTTGGAATAAAGTCAAAAACAATGAGCTACCCCCGTACACTTAAAACAAAATTCATGGCCAGCGAAAGTCTAGTTGGACTCATGCTAAAATCCTCTTTTGATTTTTTTTTTCTCTCTCAGCTTCTTTACTAGAAGTTAGACAGCAATCCTGTCCTCTCTCAGCTTCTATTGTAATAGAGTAAATCAATCAAGCTTTTTAAATCTCATTTTATAAAATAAGCTTTCCATTGCCCTTATCTACCTAGCAGTCCTCCTCTACCTGCTCTAAGTCCAGTTAATCTCTCGAATGCAGGTGACTAGATTGAATGCAGTATTTCAGGTGAGCTCTTCCCAGACCTTTACACAACACTATTGCTTTTCCCTGGCTCTATTGGAAGTTGCACTAGCTGCCGTACAGTGGTGATCCACAATCATTGTATTTTAGCAGTCACCCTATTAATATTAAGAAATTGTACCAATTATGCTTTTTTAGCATATAATAGATTTGAGGTTTGTCTTTAAACCAGAGGAAATGTAATGTGTTGTTGTTACTTTCAATAATCCTAGGATATATCTCTTAAATATTTTTACATATTTTCTGTGTATTGTTGCTTTCAACTTGCCATTGTAAATTTTTCTCTATTACTGGAGGGAGAATGAAAAATATCAATGTCAGACATCATATTTCATTCTTATAATAGTCTTTATTTGGCTTATATCAGTTTTGTTTTGTTTAAGTTTGGTAGGGAGTCCGTGTTGCTCTTGTGATCTTAAATTCTAGAATTCTGAGTTGGATTGGAGATCAACTAGACTCCTATAGTCTGGAACCACACTAGATTTGATTTATTTTTGACTTATCTGAATTTTATTCTCTAGTATCATTCCTATCAGTTGTTTTCCTTTTTTATCAGTTGTTTCCCCATGCTCAGTATTGCTCTTCTCATTTAAATGAATACAATCAATTCAAGATTGGAACATGCCTGTATTATCCTTAATCTTTACTGCTTTAGTTTTTTTTCATTTATGTAACTGAAAAACTATCTTCATCTATTTTAATATTCTTTGCCAAGCCTAGGACAGTTCCTCTCTTGGCAGTTCTCACTTCGCCCCATGCTTCTCAGTTAAGGACCAATGAGCACACACAAGTGCTTTTGCCCATGTGTTCTGTCTGTTTCTCTTTTCACATCTAACACTTCTCAGGGTGGTAGTGAATCCAGTTTGGCCTGGAGTACTTTCCTCTGCATTTCTCTTTTCTTTTTACTGTGTTTGGAATGTAGATTCTTGATTATTTAAGCATTCTTTTGTGAAGTATTAGTAAGACTTTGCTCCCTATTCAACCTATTAACTCCTCGGTCCAGCTGATGTAACTACAACAGTTTGCCTTTTTGGAACATAAAGGTTTAGAGATCCACTTACTTATTTCATTCTCCTGTTTAACTTACATCAGTTTTGTCTGACTTGGTTGAGAGCTGATTTCTACAACTGGCTACTTTCTAACATTCTCACTAGTCATCAGTAATATAGATATATCTTGTCACCTCTTATTGCTCTGATGAGGATTTGATTAAGTGTATCGTACCTTGCATCCAAAAAGAACTGGATGTTAGTGCTATGGTTAACATTTACAGTCCATTTTGTCCCTAATTTTGTGGTTATAAGCAAACACCCTCCAGGAAAAGAATAACTGTGTCATGCTGCACACAATGAACCCAGACTTAGGGAATACCAGACTCCAAGGTCATGTTTCCCATGCTTTCCCTTGCTGCAGTGAACCCTGCTAACAGGACCACCAGAGTTAGGCTGGTTTTTTTGGCTTTTTTTTTTTTTTTTTTTTTTTTAACAAACTTGAGCACCTGTAGTTCAGCTTCTCTGAAAATCAATTTCTGAGCCTATAAAGTGGATTAGTCTCTAGCCAATCTTTAACGTGCTTTTGAGTAGGTATGCGTATGTAACCCACTGTTCACTGGGCTATGCATCCCTCTCTGTGGCTGCATCTGGCCAGCAGCGGATATGAGTGTGCTACAGCTGCTTGCTAGGATATTT